ACCCAGTGTATTTCCTTCTGAAAGCTCACAGCACCCATGATATCTGGGACACAGCTTTAACTTATTATGAAAATAAGTTGTATGTGTTTGTATATAGATATATATTCTGGCCCGATCCTGCATGTGGTCTGTACTCACTTCTAATGACTGAAAAATCAACCAGGGGTTGTGGGGATTCCTCTCTCTTGTCTTGCATGTTGATAGAAAAGAAGTCAAAGCTCTGGTGGGAAATGCAGCCTCCCAGGCGTGAAAACTGAGTCACTGAGTCACCAAGTCACTCAGAGACTGATGAGTATCCGAAAAAAGAACTTGGTTTAGCTCTCTGTGAAAACAGAGAGGATGATTTTTCAGACTAGGAGGAACTGTGTGTTTGGATGTTTCTCAGAGGAGGAGGCTCTGATGGCTCCAGAGAGTTCTCACCGAGACCAGGAGTGGCAGAAGCTGAGTCACCACAGCCACATCTGTTGCATAAATGTAGCAGCGATGTCACAGCAGCACGAGGAGGGTAAATTAGTCAGGGCTAATTAATCTGCTGGTCTACTGATACGTAAAGTGTTCTATTCCAGCCTGGTATAGGGACAGCAGCCCCTTCACATCGCAGTCTGGGAAGACAAAAAGGGCATTTTCTTGATACAGCTATTTACACTTTAAAAACTAATGCACTTTGTCCATCTGACAACATGGAGACTACATGGAGAAAGAGTGAAAAAATCATCTCTTTAGTTAGTGCTCTGTCTCATTTACAGGCTGGCAGAGCTGGAGAAGAGAAGGCTCCAGGGAGAACTGAGAGCCCCTTCCAGGGCCTGAAGGGGCTCCAGGAGAGCTGGAGAGGGACTGGGGACAAGGGAGGGACAGGACAAGGGGGAATGGCTTTAAACTGAAAGGGCGTGGGTTTAGATTAGATATTGGAAAGAGTCCCTGATGAATAATGAAATTGGACTCTAATCCATTGTGTTACATTCCTGCCCATGCCCTTGGCCTGTAACTAGACAGGCCATGAAGGTAAAACATGCACACTGTCCAGAAGTTTATGAAAGTAAAGCCCTTTTCTTCCATCATCACATTTCTCATCACCACCTTTGCACATCTTTGCTGACCCAAACGTGCTCATCCCACCTCCACCGCCTCCCTCTGTCGCCCCCGAGTACCCGAAGCGTGTGCTTTGGGAATGATGGAATTGGAAAGGCAGCACATCCCGGAGCGACCGGACTGACTCAGCGCCCCAGCTGGTGACAGTGACCTTTCAGTGGGGTCATCCCTGCTGACCTTCCCTCTGCCTTCTTGGAAAAACATTGACAGAGTCAAGGGGCTGAGAATAACCACGTTTTATGAGTAACCATTTGAAAATAACTGAGAATCACCCTGGAGAATCCTCCTTCAACTCCAGAGCTGCCTTTGGGCGTTGCTGCACCCCCAGGTCCAACCCCCCCCTCTGACATGCACAGTTCCCTTCTGTGCCACTTCAGTGAAACACAAAACATGCTTCGCTCCTCCTAAATTATGTATGGACCGAGGAAGACAATCCTTCGGCGCTCTTTGATCTGGTTCCATCTGAAGAATAATTTCTATTGTGACTTCACTGAAGACATAATCAGCTGTTAATCAGGCACGCTTTGTGTAACTGTAGTCTAATTAATCTGTTTGGCTCTCTGAGGAACAATTACCACGTTGTTTGTGTTTGATTTTACCTCAGATCTGCGGTGCAAAAACACTCAGAAGGCCAATTTGGAAGAATAGACAGGATTCCCTCTGAATTCTTGATCCAGTGTCATTGGGCTGTCTTTAAAAACACCCAGACAACTGGATATTTTGAGTCTCAATTAGCTTTTCCTAGAAGGATACTTTTTGGCTCAGTGTAGGTGTCTACAACATAATAAATTATGCATAAAACACAAATTCTCTTGTTATGATACTGCTCAAACTTCATGTGCTACTGCAGTACAAAGCTCTGCATCTTTGATATTTTTGCATAGTTCTCACATTGGGAAACAGTACTGCGAGGATGAATTTTTTATTAGCAATATATATATAAAAATTATATTATGTATTTACTAAACATATATTTAGGTAAAAGGCAGTTCCTGCGAGTGGCTTTTCACAGCAGGTAAAACTATCTCCCTACTATAAGAAACAAAGTGTTAGGTAAAACCTCAAAGGTTTGTGGTGCACATAGAGAAATTCCCATTATCCCATTATTCCCATTAATCCTGGGGTTTATACTAATGGAATAGCACTACTGGTAGGATATTTTCTGCATATCTTTTATCTGGTGTGCAAACACAGCGTTGTCCTAAAGACAGGTCTGAAGGTGGGTTTGGATGGAATTTGGCTGAAGGCCTTTGGATGACAGTGGGAATAAAAGATGTGGCCCACAGACACTGAAACAGCTCTCCTGTCCCTGGCTACGTTCTGATCTCAGCCTATTTCTGATCTCAGCACTTCTGTTTTAATATCACTTTTTGTTGAATAGAACCTTTGATTTGGGGATTGCTTTTAATTTCCACTGGTGACATTTTTTTACAGTTCAGTTTTTAGTGCACTAGATCAGACAAAATTATAGATCAGGAAATGAGCATTGGCAAATAATGTTTCTTGGTACGAGAGCTGGAGTCAATCCCAAAAATCCATCAGCTGCAAATAGCCCAGGAAGAACAGGAATTGATCATCAATCAGCAGATTGTGGAGCTGCACTTCCCTGCCTGTGTTCCAGCTGCTCCACCTTCCCAACAGAACAATTCCCTATTAAAGGCAAGGGAAGAAAATTTACCTTGAGATAAAAAGTGAGGAGATACGTAGTGAAATGAGCTGTTTGGGTGTGGCCTGAATGATCCAGGGATATAGTCTGTCCATTTTCCATTCATTTCCAAAACAAATCCTTCCTAAGAAGCCCCTGGTAGCACCACTGATGGTAGGACAGGCTGATCCTCAGAGCTGTGTCAGAAAAATTAATGCTATTATATGCTTAGATGATTAAATGCTGGTGTGAGGTGTGTTGGACACAGAAACACTGAAAGGATCCCAAAGCCAGCAGCATTTCTGGGAGCATCTCAAAATTTAAGCTCTCCTAACCCTGCCAGGGAGCAGAGTTTAGCACATGAAACGGCATCAAATCCAAGATGCATCTCTGAGGCAACAAAAATGTAAATGTCCAGATGCAGATTGCCATTGTCAGGGCTGCTCCCTCTGACAGGAAACTGGAATAGGCACTGAGGAAGGAATTCTGAAAGGCTCAGGGCAGAGATGTGAAAACACTTCAAGCTTGCACCTTTGTTTCCCTGTAATGAAGAAAATGAGGGCTCTGAGCAGCTCCAAGGAGGCCCCTTCTCCCAAGGATTAGGATTGACATTTCCTTGATTTCCCGCTGTCTGACAGAGGGGAATATTTCTATTTCAGCTTTCCTTTGAGGGGGAATAATGGCCAAAGAATTTCCCTGAAATACTCAGCATTTTAGCAGCTTCAGGAACTGAAGATCACCGAGATCAACCCTTCCTTTTAATATTAATTTCTTTATATTCAAATCTCATTTTAGCTGTGAACTGGTTTTCAGGGCTCTTACAAATCACAACCAACTTCATGTGAAAAAAAAACCCCAAACAATAATGGCAATTCCAGTTTAGGAATCTGCTTGTTTGGACCTCACTGTTGTGAAATTTCAGTGCCACGAAGTTCTGTGCTTGTGAAATGTTCATCTTAAGGCATAACGAAAACAACTGTGAACTTGACATTTATCGGAAATTCATATTTAACAAATTGTTACTATCAGATTTGAAATACTTCATGCCTGAAAATAGATCCCACCAACACCGTCATTAGGCTGGGTTTGTTTAAAAGAAAAAAAAGCGAGGTACAGTATTTTTAGCTGTGTGGTTTAAGCCTCTCGGGACGAATCTGCAGCCCCCCAGTTTCGTTTTGCTGAGCTGCAGGACACCTGACACACCACAAGATGTCTCAGCAAGGAAACACTGACTTCTATGCAAGAATTTTTTTTTATAATATCGGTCGGTGAGATAAAGATTTTCTAGTGTTTGCCTTGGCTTTTAGGAGCACATGGGGAAGAAAAGCCTCGCAGTGTCAGCAATAAATGATTATTTGAAATAATCAGTGAACCAAATGACTCGTTGGAAAACCTTAAACTTCCAAAAGGAGAGGCTCAATCAACTCTCAATAAGCATTAAATCTTCCTGTGTAGGTTAAATGGAAGAATTATTTGAAAGTATATTTGATTTCCAAGCCATTTGATTTCAATAGTGTGTTCTATATTTTTAATTATTCATACTCAGGGTTCATATTGGTTGGAGTTACTACAAGCCAGTTATTTGCATAATAATTTCTCTCGGGTTCCATCTTCGGGGCCTCATGTCACTAAAATCCACGAAGCTGTTTCCTCCAGCATGGAACGTTTTCAGAGGGAACCAGGCAACTTCTGACCTTTTTTTCTGTAACATCCTCTTTCTTATTTTGTTTAACCTTTTCCGAGGTATTCAGGCTGGGTTTGTATGCACACAAACACATTGTGACCAATATATATATTTTAAATACATTGAACCTTACAGTGCAAATCCTCAACAAAGGCACAACTACGTGAATTCGGTCAGAAATCCATGGCCTTTTGTCGGGAAGAGCTGAGGAGATTAATTTATCAAACATTAATTAAGCTGTTTGCAAAATGCCCTTTACATTTTGTTTGCATCCAAACGGTAGGAGGGATTCTCACAGGAATCTGGGATGGTCCTGTACAAAACAGAACTTTTCAAGCCTTCTGGATCAGTTGAGGGAAGGTTGAGAGCTCCACATTCTTCCTTGATTAATGTGTGTGCTTTAGATAAAGCAACTGAAAACTATCGATGAAGGCACAGTTACCCTTTAACGGCCAAGGAGAATTCCAAAGCGGATTAGCCTTTGTGTGGATCAATGAAATTGTTGCTGCAGCTCTCGACTAGATTTGCTAAAACAGAAACAACACACGTGGCTCGGGTTTCAGAGCCTGGTGGTTTATTAAAGTCACAAAATTCCTTGTTTTAGCAGATATTTCACCAGATTCGGGCTACTTTTAGCAGAAATATAAGAGCTAGAAACTTCTCAGCAGTGCAGAAACCCAGAACAAAAAGGTGATCTTTGCACCAAAGACAGCCCTACAAGGGAACAGATGAATAAATATGGGGAGAACAAGGAAATAATAAAAACTACTCATCAAAAGATATGGGTCAGGGCCTGGTCATAAAACCCTCCCAGCCATCGGCAGGAGCTTTGCACACATCGTGGGAAAGGAGTGCTTGGAGGAAGGACCCGGAGAAAAACAATGCCATGGGATTGTAAAAGTGTTTGGGTAATTCCAGGCACGAGGAGTGGCCTGAGAACGAGCACAAAAGCACCCTGGAAATCTGATAAAGAGAGCAGGAAAACAGACCTTGCCTTTGGGATACCTGGTGAAGGACGGGAAGGGGGGAAAGCTCTGCTGGGGGGACACCTGCAGGAACACAAAGTGATGCACAGTCTGCTAAAATCCCTTCAAAATCACATGGGTTTGGACTTGTCCCCGTTCATGAATTTACATTTGCAAATGGTCCCTGCAGCGTGGTGTGTGCTTTGGAAGCAGGGCCTCCACCCTCCAGAGCTTCCATCCTAAATTACAGAGCCTTGGATAATCCAGGCTGTGGGATCTGAGGAGATCCGTGTCCAGAATCTTGTGCTGAACAGAAATACTTGAGCTAATTAGAAGTGGAAGAAGCCTGATTGTGGCTTGGGTCATTTGCTTTGGGAGGAAAACTTGCTTTGAGCTCTTTAATGTTTATGCAGCACTTCAAGGGATTGTTGTCTCCCTTTGCAGTAGTCCTGAATTCCTCAGACATCACACTTGCCTCTGGATCTGCAGTGCTCCATTTACTGGAGAGTTGTCTTCCAGGCAAAGGAGGAGGGACTATTACCATCCAAACCTGGAGTGCTCCACACCTTCCCTTAAAACAGCATTTCCATGAGTTATTTCAGATCTCAGGAAGCCCATCGTGACTTCACACCACAGTGATCCTGTCAACAAGTGGCCAAAAGGGCAGGCCCCCATCCTCAACATTTACACTGTCCTCATGGACAATCTGTCAGAGGGCACAGGGTCCTGCATGCCCTGGGTCTCACAGATCCTTCTGCCCCTTTTCACTGCCACACAGGGCAGGTGCTCAATATTCCAAGTTCTCACCTTCCCAAAGCCTCCACAAATCCTAAAATTGCTTTTAGTGAGTGACCTATAAAATTGTAAATAATGAAATAAAATACAAAAAAACCTATCCAGGAATAACTTTTGCTTATGGTGCTGTGGAATGCATTTTTAGCAGCAGTAGAATTCCACTCTGCTGTGCTCTGAAACTCCAACACACAATTCTGCTCATCTTGCTCAGCCAAGCAGCTCCAAAGATCCCAAACTCTCTGGAGCAGGATGAAGCTGTGAAGCACCTTTGGGTGTGATTTCACCACGGAGCACCTAAGGAAGCCCTTGAGGATTCTGCTTATTCCTGCAGGATGGAAAAGACCAACCAGCAAAGGAACTAATTAAAGGCAGGCTCTGTGGATTGATGATCCCTTGGCTCTGCTGTGGCTCAGAGGGAACATTTATCTCCCTGGGGATTCCTTTTGTTCCTCATCAGCCTTGCCCTCACTGGGGGCACTGCTGTGGTCACTTTTCTCTGTCTCACTGCTTTGTTTTTAATTGAACATTCAGGCATGTGATTCCTTTGAGAACCTGCACCTCCAGCTCGATTGATATTTATTTTAAAGCTTCAAAATTATTCCCAAAGGTTGGGGTCTCCATGGGCAGATATAACAGGCTTCACTTCTCTGGGAAACCAAGCTCTTAGAAAATTCAATTTTTAAGTACTTGATATTCCGTAAAGTGAATGGAATAGGGTTTATTTCTCTCCTTTAAAGCATAATGTAAAATATTTCTTCAAGCTGATGTGTCATTTGCTGTAATTTGATAACCTGCAGAAGGGCCTGTGTGCCTGAAAGCTTGTTCTCATTTTTAGCTGTATGAGCCGGTCTATTATAGGACTTTATTTCTCCCTTCAGAACTTGCTTCTTGTCTAATTAGAGACCCTGGTGCACCCTCATTAAATCTCTCCAGAGTGTTTCTCCCTGAGGGAGTCCCGAGTCCATGGAACTAAATTGAGGTTTATAACAGACCCATGATTGGATTAAGAGAATTCAATATATACCATAAAATGCAAATGCTTAGGAATGTATTGATTTGAAATATTACTTCTTTTAGCATTGAATTGTGCTGGGTTTGGAAAACTCATGTTAATGACTTTTAAAGATCTTCCTGGGGACAGAAGACGATATTTTGTATTGAACTGAAATCATCAGCCCAGGCAATGAGAAATCCAGATCCCTGCTCTCCTTTTGGCTCAAGGTGAGTCAGGACTTAGCCCCTGGTAATCAGTCTCAGCAGTAACAACAGCTTCTGTTTGAGAAACCTCCCTTTGTTTACTATTTCAGCAAATTCACCTGATGATTTTTTGCCCTTTGAATAATATATTCATGAGACACCAGGGGAGGGCTGGGTGACTTTATTGCTGTTTCACCCTCCTGGAACTTGAAATTCCTGCCTGTTTATTAGTAAGAATGAAACCCAGTTTTCCTCTGTGAATGACTTGGCATCATCATTTTGTCACCAAAAAAAAAAAAAAGGTGCACAAGAGGACCCCTTTTCCAGGGTCATGGCCACGACTTTTCCAGAGCCCGTGACTGGGAAGTTCATTTTCCTGAGGTGCTGTTGAGGTTGAATGACTTGTCCGTGGTCAAAGACTGTGGCAGGAGTAGGGGATAAAAAAATCCAGGTATCTAGGAAAGCATCCTAAGCACTGGGGCATCCCATCTTCTGCCAAGGAGGCAGAAGGAATTGGGCTGGATTTTCTGGGACTGTACAATCAACAGTTCAATGATCTCTTTTCTCCTGCTTTTACAGAGCAGGCCCTTAAACTGTCAGCCTTAAACTGTTTCCATGGTTGATAGAGTTCAATTAGTCTTCCAGTTATCAATCCTTCACTGCCTTAATTCAGAATACTAATTCCCTCCTTCAGCCAGCAGGAAATCTGCACAGAAATGCAGATTGAGGCTGATTGAGGGGCAGATCCTGCTTGTTAAAATCTGCTTGGAGTAATTGTTTCTAGAATGCAGTAATAGCCAACAAGTTCTCTTGTACCTCATTAAGCATTTAACCTCTAAACCCACTATTTCATATTAATATATATAAATATACATATAAAAGAAATACATCCACAGAGTATTTATTACAAAACAGCATTTTATCATTGCTGAACAAATTACTTGGCTCGTTTGCATCTTACAAAATGACCTGATTTTAAGGGATTTAAACGCTTCTCACCTATTTTGTTTCCAGGTGCTCAAGTCCACCTTTCTCATCGTTCAGCAGCCACATTTCTGAGCTGAACAACCCCCAGCAAATAAAAAAAAAAATAATAAAATGCTGCCGAGTATAACAGTAGACCTCAATAGTGTCAAAGTTCTTTATAAATATTTATGTATAACAGTTCTCCAGGCTCCAATATTTCCAGGTTTGGTCTGTCCAACAAAACACGTTAACATCCTCCAGAGTTTGATGCCAGAAATCCTTAAAGTGTTCAGATTTCCTTCAGGATTGTGAAGGACTCCTTGGATCTGCTGTACTGTTTGGCGAACGTGGCCACCCTTTGGAGAGCTTCTGCCAGCCCCTCTCCCGTGATGGCACAGCAGGGCTGCACGTACCATGTCCTGTCACTGCAGAACTTCTTCATCTTGAACCTCCTGGTGATCTCCTCAGCGTTCAAAGCCCCGGGCAAGTCCTGCTTGTTCGCCAGCACCACGACCGGCACGTCCCTTATGGAGTCGTTCTTCAGGATGAGCTCAAACTCCCTCCTGGACTCCTCCAGCCGTCGCTTATCCGAGCTGTCCACCACGTACAGCAGTCCATCTGCACCCTCCAGGAAATTGCTCCAGACCTGCCTCATTTTCTCTTGCCCTCCGACGTCCCAAAACGTCAGCGTAAAATCCTGCCCGATTTCAATCATATCGACGTTAAAGCCGATGGTCGGGACGGTCAGGAAAGCATCTTTGTACCTGAGCTTGTACAGCAGCGTGGATTTCCCTGCACAGTCCAGCCCCAGCATCACTATGTTGGCCTGCTTCACTCTGCGGGGTTTGGTGTTCTGGTGGCCCATTTCTGCCCTGCAGTTCCCCTCTCCAGCCAGGCTGGGATGTTCCCCCTCTCTCCCCTGAAGCCAATTTGCATCGATGTCTTTCCTCCTCCGGGAGATGAAGCACAAAGAGGCAGGAAGGGGAAGAAGCAGCTCCGTGCTCTGCAGTCAGACAAACCTCTGTGCAAACAGCCCGTGGTTTATCGGGTTGATAACAGCCCAGCAGCGTTCCTGAAGGTGCACCCTCCGTGCCAAGCCTGTGGGTGGGACACCATGAGTAACCTGCCAATTGGTCACGGGCACAAAGGTTGCTGCCTTCCAGCAGGTCTGAACATCCACACTTCCAGGCCCAGCAGCCTGGCTGCGCTCCCTGATCCGTGGGCTGGGGAAAGTCTGCGTGCTCAGAGATCAATTCCCTGTGTCCACATCCATTTTGGGAAAGGAACTGTGTATAAACACAGCCAGTGAGGAGGGGAAATCCTAAGGTTTGTCCACGCTTATCAATCCATAACCTAACAAGGTGCCCTCAAAGTGCATGTCTCAGCAACAAACTGATGCCACCTTGAGTTCTGTGTGCAGTTTTGGGCACCAGAGTATAAAAAGGATATTAAGGTATTAGAGGGAATCCAAAGGAGGCCACAAGGGTGGGGAAGGGTCTGGAGAGGAAGCCACAAGAGGAGCAGCTGAGGGCACTTGGTCTGTTCAGCTGGAGGAGGCTGAGGTCAGACCCCACTGGGGTCTTCACCATCCTCCTGAGGGGCAGCAGAAGGGCAGGCACTGATCTCTTCACTCTGTGACCAGTGACAGGACCCGAGGGAACAGCTGGAGCTGAGTTGAGGAGGTTTAGGTTGGATCTCAGGGAAAGGTTCTTCCCCCAGAGGGTGGTTGGCACTGAACAGGCTCCCCAGGGCAGTGGGCAGGGCCCCAAAGCTGCCAGAGTTCCAGGAGGGTTTGGACAACGCTCTCAGGCACAAAGTGTCCTTCTTGGGGTGTCCTTTGCAGGGCCAGGAGTTGGACTCGATGACCCTGCTGGGTCCCTGTTAGCTCAGTGTGACTCTGTGATCAGTGGGTTCTAATCGGAGTCTCCCCAGGCCCAGGGACTCAATCAAACTGTAAGAGAACTTGAAAGGTGGGCTCTGCTCCGGCTGCCTCTGACCACAGCACTGCCTCCTCCTGCCAGGGCTGTGAGCGGGGGTTCTGTCTGCATGAACGAGTTTAACTGCACTCTGTGTGATGGTATAATGAGTAAATGCAGACCTTACAAACCACTCATCGCTGAGACTCTGCCGCCTGAAATCAAAAACCTCTTCATTCTGCTCTGCTTTGTGCTTGTCCACTGATGAAGATTTCCTTCAGTAAAGGGACAAGACAAGAATCAGGGAAATAACTGTGTCTTGATCATTTCTTTTGCCAGCATTCTAAGCAGTAAAATAAAACAAGAGGAGATAGAAAATTTAGACTATTATTATTGAATTCCTATTGAGTCTCCATTTTTCAGACAGTAGACAGACCTACGCTGGGCAGGCCTAACACATACCAAGTGCTGCAGTCCTTGCTTCAGAACACACATAATCAGCAAAAAGATGTGAAGGTCTTGATGGCCAAACGAGCTGCTGACTGATAGGACAATCATTCCAATAATTACGACATTGATTGCTCACATATTACACGTTGCGTAAAACCAACCTCAGCCTTGCCAGACAAGTTATAATCTGGTATCTCTTGAAGCTAAAAGGGTTAGACCAGAACTAATTGGGGGCAACAAAAGATGACAGTGCTCAGTGCTGTGCATTTTTCATCGCTAATAACACGTATGGATTACGTGGAGGACTTTTTGCAGGAGCAGGTCACGATGTATTAAATCTGGGAAGGAAGGGTTTGTGTTTCCTTATAAATAATGTATAGGAATGAACTGAAAGATGGGGAGGCAACTCTCTGATGTGTAATACAGTCAAATGAATCAGAATTCCCTGGAAAAGTGTGCAGTTCTGAGGAAACATGGTGTCTTGAGCAAGGGCAAAGCCTGGCAGGGAATGGATGGTGCTGTGATTTGAAGCTCACACAGTTCTCTGCTCTGTGCTTGCTCCAGCTGTGCTCAGTGTTTAAGGTCACCACTGTCATTTCTAACATCAGGCTGTCACCTCACAGCAGTGATCAAGCAGAGCCTGATTTTCACCAGCTAATTAAAGTGAAGGCCAGCACGGAGCAGCTGCCCTGGGAGGGCACTGTGGTCTGGTCATCTCTAACTGTAGCAGAGCCCACACGAGTTCGGTTCAGAGCAGGATCCTGTGATCCAGAGCCACTTCCAGTGAGGATTCCCTGCACTGCTTCAGAGCTCACCACCAGTGTGAGATCAATCCGCAGGACAGGGTGTGATGCAGCTCCCGCTGCCGGGTTCTAACCCCGTATTTGCTCCTGAGCACGGATGGAACATCCACCTTTGCTTTGTCCAAAGGTGTGTTTGGCCGGCCGGGCTCGTGTGTAGGGTTTGCCTGCAGGTTCGCTTGCATAACCCCGAGCCATAAACCCGGGGACAGCTGATTTAGCACCAACTAATCTGCGCCTAAAACTGCGCACAGAAACCAAACCCGGCAGCTTTGTGTAAACTCTGCAGGTGGCCGAGTTGCCCGGGCAGGTTATTCCACTCCGCGCCTCGCTAAAGTGAGGTGGATGCTGCGATGGAGGCAGTGGATCCTCCCCGGGGCCATTCCAGCGGCACAGGCAGGACGGGGAGGAAGCGCCGCTTGCTCCTCCCGGCCCTGCCCGGCCTTAGCTCGGGAGGGATCGCCCGGGATCCCCCGGGATCCCGGCGGGGGAAGGCGGGGACCGGCGGGGCCGCTCCCGGCGCTCGGGGAGGCGGAAGGGGAGGCGCCGCTTCCCGATGCCCGCAGCGCCAGGAGGGACACGGTAATGGCAAATTGCAATGGGAATGGGAGCGGGGGACCCCTCTGGCCGCGGCTCCGGTGCCCGATTTTAATAAAATCCACTGGGAGGGCTTTAACTCTGCCCGGGCTCAGCAGAGCCCCTCGCACAGCCCTCCCTGCGCTGCTGCATCCAGAGCCTGGAACAGAGAACCGGGGTGGCTCGGGCGGGCAGAAAGGAGAGCAAGTGGTTGTTGGAAAGTCCTTTAAATCAGTTCTTAGAGTATTGTTACCCCGGCGTCTTGCAGAATTTCCCCTAGATTGGTAAAGCGCAGGGAGAAAAACATGGAATCACTGGCTGAACTGGGTTGGAAGGACCTAAAGGATCATCCAGTTCCACCCCTTGCCGTGGGAAGGGACACCTTCCACTGACCAGGTTGCTCAGAGCTCCATCCAACCTGACCCTGGGGCCAGGGACAGGAATATATTTCCAAATGATTTCTGCTGGTAGCTTTAAAGAGTAAAAGGATTAATTTTTCTATACATCTAGCCTTAAGATACTTTAAAATCTTTAAATTGGACGATATCATGGTTATTGGAATTGTCAGTCTTCAGCGAATAGGAGAATTTCCCACCTTTGTCCTGCCAAGCATGTCCGCACTCCGTGATTCCCGGGCTGAAGCAGAGTGTGAGAGATGGATCTGAAATCCCTGTGGAGCGTGTTCAGCACGTGTTGCCTCACATTTGTTCCAGAGTTCATCGGTTTGATCTGTTGGCACCATCTCAGAGCCAGCGAGTTGTGAGCTTGGAAGGAAATGAAAGGAATTCCCTGGCAGGAGCAGTTCCTGGTGCTGCTCCTGATGCACCTGCTGTACAGCTGGAAGGGGACAACTGCCAGCAAATAAAGTTACTTACTGGTTTTGAGAGGGATCACTCCAAAATTCTTCTATTAAATACTTATTTATACAAAATTGCTTTAAATCCATTTTAGAGATACATCTTTGGTGAATTTTAACGATACATCATTTGTGAAATGTGCTCCAGATTTTTCTTTTAAAGGTTGATGAATTTAAAGCCAGATCCTACACAGGAATATGAGCAAATCAAATCCCCTTGGATTCTGGTGTGCTGTGCTGGGGGTTGGATTTATTTGTCAAATACAAAACATTTACAAGCCCTGTGGTGATATTTTTTGAAGATAAACAGTAATTAATCGTGCTGAGGAACTGAACCTTCCATCACCCTTGCTGTGTCTTTGTGAGTACTTTACAGTGCAGGGTAAATGTCATTACTGCAAACATCCCAAATCCTCTGGAATTCCTAAAGATGTCCAATGTATGAGCAGAGCATGTGCAGTTTTAAAGGAATACAGGGAAAGGAAACAGTGGTAAGTGGAGGGTGCAGGGTTTAAATTGAGTTCTGGGAAGATGTATTGATTGGAATCTCTAATCCTGGCACTGCAGGAATGGCTTCTGCACAGATTCCATGGGGTTTGGAAGTACCTGCTGAGGACACACACCAGGTACAAGCTGTGTGTCCCAAATCCAAACATGGCTTGGGTAATGGTAAAAATGGTGATGGTTTGGGTCAAAAATACCTTTACTAAATCACTTGATTTAATTAAATGAGTTGATTTTTACCTTCTTTCTCCTTCAGAACAAGCAGCTGCTCAACCCTTCAATAGGGGATGAAATATTTTTGGGTGCTTTTGCTGTCTTGGCTGATCTACTCCAGCTCATACAAACTAATAGGAAAAGAGAAATCCCACATTTTGAAGCCTCTGAACTTCATAGCCCTTGGATTTTGTTCCTTCCTCGGGGTGGAATCGAGTGGGGGCCGTGCCAAGATCTCTGGGATGACAGCACTGACAGAGCTCAGGTTGATGCAGAGGGGATTCCCAAGGTGACAGCCGTGAGGTTTCCGTGCAGACCACGCTCCGTGGAGCATCCATGGAGTGCAGGATGGAACAGCTGCACCAGGGAGGCTGGGATTTGTCTCCACACCACACCTCCTGCTGACACTTAAGGAGAAGGTAATGTTTGGATAACACCACTCTGAATGTTGCTTGTTCCTTTCTTTTCCAGCAAGAAAGATGCCCCAGGACTCGTGGGATGGATTCTGAAGGTCAGCAGTGCACTTCCACACGCACCGACCATGACGCTGGTCCCAGCGGGTGCCACGTCCACCAGGCCCCTGCAGTGGGTTTTTGTGTTCCTCCTGGTGTTCTCCACGCTAACAACGCTGTACATAACCTTTCCTTCCAAGGCTGTGCTTGAGAAGGTGAACCCGATGTATTTCTACGAGTATGAACCCGTTTACAAGCAGAACTTCCCGTTCACGCTGCGGGAGCGCTGGAAGTGCCAGGACGTCCGCCCGTTCCTGGTCATCCTGGTGTCTTCCAGGCCCAGGGAGGTGAAGGCCAGGCAGGCCATCAGGATAACGTGGGGCTCTCGCAGCTCCTGGTGGGGCCACCGAGTGCTGACCCTGTTCTTGCTGGGGCAGGACACCCCTAGAGGAGACAGCGCCGTGGAGCTGTCGGTGCGGGACGAGAGCATCCTGTACGGGGACATCATCCAGCAGGATTTCAGGGACACCTACGGCAACCTCACCCTGAAGACCATCATGGGCTTCCGCTGGGTGGCCGAGTTCTGCCCCGGCACCAGGTTCCTCATGAAGACCGACAGCGACGTTTTCATCAACACCCCCAGGCTGGTGGAGTTCCTGCTGCGGCGCAATTCCTCGGAGAACCTCTTCACTGGTTACCCCCTCATCAACAACTTTGCCTACAGGGGCTTTGACAAAACCAGATCCATCTCCTACCGGGAATATCCCTTCAGGTCGTACCCTCCGTACTGCGGTGGGATGGGCTATGTCCTGGATGGAAAACTGGCCCTGAGGATTTACGAGCTGATGGGCCACGTCAGGCCGGTGAAATTCGAGGATGTCTATGTTGGAATTTGCTTAAACATCCTTAAAGTCCCCGTCAGTGTCCCCGAAGATGCCGAGCAGTTCTTCCTGTATAGAGTTAATTTTGATGCCTGTAAGTACAGACACCTGATCGCAGTTCACGGCCTCACACCGAGTGAACTCATCCAGTTCTGGCAGGATTTGTCATCCAGCAGCTCTGTGACTTGCCTTTGATTCTGGATTAACAAGGAAAACTTAAACCTGTTTGGTGTAAAAACATTTAAAGGGCAGGGAAATGCAAACCAAAAGCAGTTCTAGTGATGCCTTTTGACAACGCTGCAGTGGCAGCATCTCCCTGGAACATCGCAGTGCTCTTAAATAAAAACACCAGGAATTCATAAAGCACTTTTCCATGTGCACTCAGGGTACTTTGGAATGCTCAGGGTACTTTGGAATGCTCTGTCCCATCTGCCTCTGACACCTCCCCACGTGGTCAGCTCCAGGGATTTCTGCCTGAATCTTCTGGAATGGAGGAAAAGTCACCAAGGAATAATGTTATGCCAAGAAACCAGCTTTGAGGACGCTTCCCAAATTCCTGCCTGGATTGTTTTTGTTGCTTTATGGCCACTCTCAATTATTTGTTCTCTCAAAACAACCTTCTTTGTGTGTCTCACCTCTGTGACCCTTCTGAGAGTGTCACCCCCGGGTATTTAAAGGTATCACCTCTGTCATGCTTCCAAGAACACTCCAAGCCTGTGGGATCTGCAGGAGCTGATGGGAAATTCTGGGAAAAATGGGGCACTTTTTGTGTGTGTGTCTCTATGGTTATAAAATAAAACTGCTTTGGGGTCTCGGACAGTGTTCCCAGACTCCTGGGGGGCAGGTGGAGTTCATGGCTTATGAGATATCCCAAAACCCCCACATAGAAACATCTCTGTGCGTGTCCTGATGCATCCCAAGAGCTTTGGAACCCCCAGGGAAGATGAAAGCAGAATCATTTCCTGGGGGATTTGTGTCTGTTTCTCAATTGGTTTCCTCCCCCCACACTTTAGAATGCAATAAAGGAAGGAACCCCCCCGATATTTCTATTTAAAGGAGACAAACTCTGCCCTATGTGTAAAGACCGGTTTTTAATCACTTTATTCATAATCAGCAAGGCCCAGTTTTCAGTAGTTTACACTTCTAAGAGACAACAATACAGAATTTGCAGTTGCATGAACATAATTAATCTGGACACATCCACTACACGGGGAGGAGACTACGGTGACATCCTGGCCACGGAGCAGCTCCCATTCCCAGGGATTTTTGTTTTTGCCTGGCAGAATTCCACAGTGTCTCCTCGAGACAAACCACAGAGAGGTGCAGAAACCTCCAGGAACCACGGGGGGGAGGTTTCACCAGTGCCTTCATTCCCTTGTGGGCAGGATTGAGTTTGGCTCTTTCCAAACAGCTGCACGTGGGGCTTGGGGTGGGGTGGGGATCGCAGGATTTTTAGGTATAAAAGTGAGGGTTTGGGGACATCACTCTCCAGACAAGATGTCAGTGTTCTAAGGGTGGGTGTTAAGCTCAAAGTTTTTAAAAAATAAGGGTGTTTTTTGTTGTTGTTAAATAGCTGAAGATACAGTGTTGGGTGAGTGAGGGAAGGATGCTCCTGTGTTTCCAGAAACAGGGACAGCTGTGCCACGGGTTTGGGATCTGGGATTTGATTGCTCTGTGGGCAGATCCTGAGAGCTCTGTGAGAAACATCTGCCTTGTTCTTCGATTGTTTTTACACCTCAGAACCCACCCCCCTCTGTTTTTCAGGAGCCTGCCATGCTGCCTGTTCAGAAATAAATTATTTGCCACAAGAACGCTGATGCTGCAGCACAGTCTGTATTGCTTCCCCACCCCCCCAAAAATGGAACTGTGGCTCTGCAGGCTTCAGAAAACAGATAAAGCAGAGAGTGCTCCTGGTGAGGGAGAAAGGAGGGTCACAGAGGACCAGACACACACCTATCAAACCTGCAGCTCTTTGGGGTTTATGTGCCCCAAGTGCTGACACTGCTCAGGGTTTGTACACACTGATCAGTTTGAAATGAATTGTCATCTGCAGCGACAGCGACTCTGCAACAAATCCCACTGGAAAACAGCCCTGGTTTTCTGAAAAAAAAACAACAAACCCAAACCTTTCCAAATTTGGTTTGTATTTGAGTCTGACCTTATTATTGCTGTAAAGTTCCTAAATGTAAAATTCCTAACTAAGCTCCTGTTTCCGCTTAAAGCCATGATTAGGGAAGTTTTTAGCATGAGCAGCCATGCAAGAGGTGAAAAACCTGCAGACCATGAGCTAATCTAAGAACTGAACTCAGGGGTGGGCCCAAATTTTATTGCATCTGCCTAAAATAGTGTACTAAAAATGCCTAAAATTTTTCCAGATCCTAAGTTTTGTTTGTTTGGTTGGTTTTTTTCCTCTTATGCAGTAAGTTGTTTAAAAGCTGTAGTAAATCAGAATTCCAAGTACTTGTGATTTGATAGGGATCTCATTCCTCCCTGGGAGGGTTGGGGGGCCCTGGCACAGTTGTCCAGAGAAGCTGTGGCTGCTCCTGGATCCCTGGAAGTGTCCAAGGCCAGGCTGGAGCAACCTGGGATAGTGGAAGGTGTCCCTGCCCGTGGCAGGAGTGGAACTAAACAACCTTTAAGGTTCTTTCCAACCCAAACACACCCTGGGTGGAATAATTCACACACTGAGGGCTCACAGGTGATTTTCCAGCCCCTGCTCCTGTTCCCTCTGGAGCTGCTCCACTCTGGAGTTTGCCCTGTTAAAGGCAGGTGGGTTTGAGCTTTGGAAAAATTGCCTCCCTAAAGGGTTGGCCATTTCAATGCAGGGGAAAAGTGCTTTATTTCCCTATTTTTAACTCATTCACAGAATCACAGAGTGCTTTGGGTTGGGAGGGACCTTCGAGACCATCTCATTCCATCTTCCTTAGGACTGAGCAGACAGGAACTGACCTAATCCAGGAAACCCATGGAAGTGGGGTTTTAAATTCCTCAAGAATTGCCCCTGAGCCTCTTATTTATGGTTCTAGAAAGGCTTCAGCTGCATCCATTTGCTTACCAGAGCACCCAGACCACCCAGCAGAACTCTGAGTTACCTGAGGGAGAACTCTAAACCAGCTGCTTCCCTAAACCTTGCCTGGTCAGCACCGTGGAAATAAAACCAATTAAACTCCAAATCAGTATTAACTGTGTAGATCTCTTTCTTTTTTGCTGAGTCCTCAGGTTTAGAAAGGTCATTTCTGAATATCTGGAGCTCACCAAGGGGCAGCAGCTCCGGGCTCTGCAGTTGCCAAATTCCAGCAGAACACCCTCAATTGTAAACTTGGAATTTTGTACAGAGGCCTAAAAAACCTCCTTTGGGAAACGAAAGGCTGGTAAGTTGTGGGGTTTTTTTGTAGTAAAATCACTCACTAAATGGCTCTCTGTGTGAAACAAGTATCAGCTATGTTAGCAATATATCCATATTATTTAAAGCAGGGCTGTCCTGTGTCCTGAGAGGCAGCTGATGCAGCACTTCAGTTCTAACTTCTGGAGCCTAAAACCTTCCCAATGTTTTACTTTTATCCCTGTCAATGGTTTAAACTCTGGAAGAACAGCAGCAGCACCCCAAGTCAGTGGGCAGTCCATGATGCTGGATGGCATTTGCCTTATTTATATTTATATTTATATGAAATCTAAACAATCTCTCAGTAAAACTGGCTCATTCGTGTCAAATTGGGTATTTTCAGACCTTTTAGGAGTGGAGGTGATGCCACCCTCACAGTGTCACCTGTGCCACCCTGGGGGATGAGCTCCCTGTGCCTGGTGCCGGACGGTGCGACAGAAGACGATGTGGGATGAGTTTGGTGTGAAACAAAACCATGTCTCCTGCCAGCCCTGAGATGAGCAACGAACTCCTGACTCCAGCCTGGGAGACAAGGGGCAGGGGGGACTTGAAATCCCTCCCGTTTTGCCACAGGGGCCGGGAGAGCTGCTGTGGAATTGCAGGGAATGCTGCGGCGTTCCCAGTGCCAGGGCGGGCTCGGGCCACTAGACGGAGCCACAGTGCCACCAACACAGGCAGGGAGAGTCCCAGCCCTCCCAGGAATTCCAGGAAGGATCAACCTGTCTGAACCTCCCCACAGTGTGTGATCAGAGCGACGAACTCCACGGCAATCCACGATCCCAGTCCTGATCACCGAACATTGACACGTCCCACGTGAGTTAACTGGGACCTTGTGACATCCCACAGGGAACAGCCCCAATTCCTCGAGCACCGGACCAGCTGAACTACTGACAAAGGTACATTTTGTCACGTTGGACCACGGGAAAGATGCTCTTTGGCAGCAACTCAGTCCATCAGTTCTGTGCCCCGGGAGGCTCTTCCCGAGGGCACCGATGTCCCCAACAGAGCCACTCGGGCTCCAAAGAACTTCCATGGCAAGAGGAGCTCCCAGCTGTGTCCTGGCCACTGTCCCCAGGAGGCAGCTCTTTCTCTGGAGAGGTGCCCAGGCAGCAGAGCAGGCAGAGCAGGTGGGAGGAACCCCTCGTGCCAGGGCAACCCTTCCCAGCTGGAGGATGGAGGTTAAGGCAGTGGGAGAACCCTGGATTGTTCAGGTGGCATCAGCAAAAAGGTGCATCACTCACCCTCGCCGTCCCCCAGCTGTGTCACGACGGGATTTGGCACAAATCAGCGAAGTTCAGTGGAGGTTTGGGGGAGAAGCTTTGAGGATTGGCAGCAGAGAGCACTGCTGGGCACTGGGCATGGAGCTGGGAGAGCACAGGGAGCCTCTCACCTCCTCCAGGCCTGCAGCTTCCAACCTAAAGCAGCTGAAACTTGTTTTTTAGAGTAATAAAAGCCCAAGTCACCAGGCTGGACAGAGATTGTTGGCCTGGGTGGCCAGGATGGTGCTGAGGGATGGGGAGAGGAGGCTGCAGAGGAAGCTGAAGCTGCTCCAGCAGCTCTTGCTGCAGCTGCAGACACTGGAAGGTTGGAGCAGGGCTGATTGGTGCCTGCCTGGAGGGGCTGGGAGTGACAGAGGGAATGATCCTGGAATAAACATCCAGGCAAACCCCTTCTGTCCTGCACTGCACTGCTTTCCTAAATCCCGAGAGCAGGGTTTGCTTCCAGAGGGAGCCACTCTCCCACTGCTCCCTCATGGCTGGGAATTCCTGCCACCTCGTTTTCCTGTCTGTCACGAGTGCTGGAGCACAGCCAGTGAGCCAAGCTCATGGATCCCTCAGGGATGCTCTGGAGAAGGTCATGGATCCCTCAGGGATGCTCAGGAGAAGGTCATGGATCCCTCAGGGATTCTCCTTCTCTCCTGGCAGCTCCCCAGGCTGTGCCCTCCACAGCAAAGCTGGTGCAATGGGACCTCTCCTGTGAAGGACACAGGAAAGGCTCTGCCTGGAGCTCTGACTCTGCTGCTGTGCCATTCCTGGCTCCAGGACTGAGCACTCCCATGGAAATGCCACCCCAGGTTTGCATTTCCCAGCCTTCTGACCTCAAATACCTTTTCAAACCAAAATAACTGAAGTGCTGTGCAGTTTTTGAGGTTTCCTGGGAGCTGCTCGATGGAGCTGCCAAGCTGCATTGCCAAGTCACTGCTCAAGGGATTAAAAAAGTCAGGAGCCTCCCATCCTCTAGGGAAGGAGCAGGGCTGGACACTTCCCTCTCCTGCTTTCCACTTTTGAAAGGGCTCTACCTGGAGTGTGGGCTGAGCAGAGGCTGCCAAGGGGATCCCCTACACATTTTGGACAGCCCTGGTAAAGGCAACAGATCCAACTGAGAGCTGTGATTATCCCCAGCAAATTAAAGGAGGGAGGTTCCTTGGGGAAGAGGTGACCTAGGAACAAAACTGGAAAGACTAAGATGGAAATTCCCTCTCGAGCAGGAATTTTATGCTCTTTGATTTTTCTCCTTGAGAGACTCAGACCTGCTCAGCACCCAAGAACAGGCAATGCCAGTTAATGCAGCAGATCCCTGATTCCCCTCCAGACCCAAACACCAACAACCTCCAGCACCCTGAACCTTGAGCAGATGGTCCAGGACCACGTTTTGCAGGGAGATTCCAAGGATTATTACAATTATCCAGCCTGGTCTGTTCATCTCACACAACCCTGCCCCTCTGCAGTTGTTACCACGGGCAGAACAAACTTACACCAGTCCCAGGTTCCAAAATACAATTCAATACTGAAAGTTAGATCTAAGCAGGCTTTTCTCTAGATTTAACACAACCTTTCATCTCTACTGCTGCCTGGCATTTGTACATTATCCCAAAACACGGTTCTGCCCCGGGATGAACACCACGAATCCATCTGCAGTTGGTACCAGGGATAACCACCTGGACAGCCCTGACTGGGGTAGCTCTGAGGAAAGCCCTGCTTTGATGAGTTTCCCAACAGTCACTAATGACATTAATTTTACCTTGCATTTCGCTTGCCAAGTCCAAAATAAGGTCAGGGTGACTCCTGGTGCAGGACAGACATTCTGCTCTCACAGCTGAGCTCTTTTCTCATCCAGGAGGTGTCAGAACCTCAGAGTATTTTGCTGAACTCTGCCATCAGTTGGTTTGGATACAATATGGCCTAGAACTGTTACAGAGTAATGCACAGCCTGGATAAACTTGTGGCTTCAGGTAATTCAGCAGCTCTACCTACTCACATGCTTGGCAGGGATTTACTGGGGTGGGGGGAGGAGGTTAAATGAAGCGAGAGAGCCAAGAGTGTGGCAGCAGGGGCAGAGTTGGCTCCTCTTCCTCCTTCATGCCAGAGGCCAAAAAAATCACCAACCTTTTCCTGTTCAGCCTTATCACTGTGGCTTAAAGGGATGAGGAACATGGGCAGTGCCAGCTCTGGGGAAAAGCAGCAGCACTGCCCTGACCCTGCCGTGCAGCTGGACCCACCCTGGAGCGTCAGAAACGGGAGGGGAGCGGTCGAACCGCACGGGATCCGGAAAGAAAACGGTGCAATGGAAGGTTCCAGTGAGTTCTGGAGGAGCAGCGAGGTTCACAGGAGGCAGGGGCAACATGGGCAAACTGAACTGCTGTCACTGCTCAGCGTGGACTGGTTGTACTGCTCCCGGTGTCAAGCACGGAACGGAGGCCGGAGGGATCCGCTCCTCCCGCGGACGATCCGAGCGGCTTTCACTCGAGCTTCCCGCTGCGTGCGTGCCGAGTCCAGAGGGAGCCTCTGCTCACTGCTGCTCCTCTGCTTTGCTGCTACTCCTGAACTTCACCACCATGACCGTGATGTTGTCGGGGCAGCCCCTGTAGAAGGACTGCAGGACGATGCTCTTGGCCCCGAAGTGCGGCTCGTCCAGGCGCTCCTTGATGAACCTCACGGCCTCCTCGTTGCTGAAGGCGTCCCACAGCCCGTCAGAGGCCAGGATCATGAACTCTGGCTGCAGTTTGTCCAGGTCAAAGCTGAGGATGTCGGGGTCGGGGATCACCACGTTGAGGTTCTTCAGGGGGTAGTCCCCCAGGGAGCGGGACATGGCCAGGATCCCCTGCACGCGCCACGAGCCGTTGAAGCTGATGAAGCCGCCTGCAGGGAGAGAGACACCAGCACTTAAAGCAGCTCTTTGAAACCTTAAAAGCCTTTCTCTGGTTCCTGCCAGGCCCAGCCCAAACTCCATCCTGAGGGTGCTACAGAGCTCAGCGTGCTGGAGGTGCCTTCAGTGCATCTTGGAGTGCTGAGCTGGATTGCAAGAGGAATCGGGAGTGGATCTGCTTGCAACCAAAGCAGCTCCCCCAGAGAGACCCACAGCTCATGAGACAGCACAGGAATTCCTGTTCTACACAGCTGACTGCTCAGGAAAACCCCTGGCGATGTGCAGAGATAAAAACAGCGAAACAAACCTTTACATTCCTGTTCGTGAACACCTTTTCCCATGTGGTTCACGTTTCCCATCCCAGATCCCTGAAGGAGGCAGCACTGAGAACACCCTGCAGTGGCACACACACACCTCCCTTCAAGGCCCAAAGCAAAGAAACAAGTGCAGAACCATTTACAGGCTCTTCCCAAACCGCCTCTGTCAAACAGGACCAAAAATCCACGGATGTGCCGTGGGATCCGACTGGTTTTGTCATCACCAGGATTAAGGATCTGGTTGAATCTGTTTTCTTTAGGGCTTGCTAAGAGGGAGGTGTGTTCAGCACTGGCTGCTCCACAGGGCCAGTGTGCCAGGAATGGCAATCAGGCAGCACTCAAGGTCACAGAGGAGAATCTGTGGCACCTCCAGTTCCTGTGCATCCATCTGCACACCAGCAGCTGTTCCATCACAGTGTTCCTGTCATCCTACCAGGGGGAGGAAAAGTCACTCGAGGACAAACAATTTGCAAACATGGAACGTTAAATGTAGGACAGGGTTTTCTATCTGCACACTGTCTGCTCTGGTGTTCTTACAAATGTCTTTGTTCTTCCTTCAGCCTGGGTGTTATTTGTCACCTGTCTCCTCAGTCTTCCCGTGGCATTCCCATTCCTGGCTGGCTGATCTTATCTGTAAGTCCCCTCTGCTTTCAGGTGAAACTATTTCATTTAAGGATTCTCTGTTGCCTACAGGTTGAAGCTTGATTTGTGTGAAAACCAGCAGAAACAAAGCTCTTGAACTGCCTGTTCTCATGAACATTCCTCTGGAGCCTCCATGAGGTTTCCTTCCCTAATCAAAAGGAGGAAGGACTTGGGAGCCTCCTCTTTGGAAGCACAGCCAAGCAAACCTTACTCCACATTTACTCCAGCTCTGCAGGCCGAGCTTATGTGGACAAAGAGCCCGAACTGCCCCGTGGCACAAGTGGGTTCCTGAAGTGTCTTTGGCACTTCTAATATTTTCTTTTATACAGGAATCCATATCAGCTCCACAGAAATGCTCAGGAAAAGCAAACACTGCAGTGCTGGCCGTGCCTGGAGAAAAAGGCATTAAAGGAATTGAGGCTTCTTGGCAACAGCACAAATGTTTTCAGTGTGAGCAAGGGCTGAGCTCGCAGGATTAACGCTCAAGGTGAGTAACTTGAATTTCTGTCACCTTGTGCTGCCTCCCAAGCCAAACCCAGGCTGTTCCAAGGGCCATTATCCCACACCAACAGGGCAGTGCAAAGCTGGAAAATCCCAGTGAAAGCTGGTGATGTGGTGACTGTCACCTCCTTCTGTTCCTCACAGCAGGGATCTGGACGGTGGAAAAAATCCAGGTGCCTTTTGCCACAGGAGCAGATAATTCAGCTGGGGCACTTTGCTTCAATTTTACACTTAGGAGATGGGAAAAAAAAGGGATGTTCCAGAATGTAAAAGTACCTGGCAGTGGAATAAAGTGGAGTGGATGTTTTTAGCAGCACTCTGAGGCCACAGCAGTGATGAGGTAACAGAGAAGGGAATTCATGAAGTCACAGGTCTAGGGAGAATATATTTCTTGTTCTAACATTTACCTGCCCATGAAAATAATTTCTTCCTGAGTTGGAAGTTCCTGCAAAAATCCAGGTTCATTTTACCTGCTGTTGTGTTACAAAGCCTCATTTTCAGACAAATCAAATAATCAGATTATTTTTTTCCTCCTCAGTGAATTCCTCCTGGGCTTGGCTGAGAGGGAAGTGATTTTACAGGTGGATTTTATGAATACATCCCCCAAATACAGAAGGGGAAGCAAAGAGAGACCAGGATTTTTCTATTCCTTCTTCTCAGGACTTGTATAGTTTTCCTTTTCCCCCCAGGGGGGAGCAGACGTGGCCTTGGCTCTGCCATCACTTTGACGACCTGTGGGTTTTAAATATGTTTTGTGCTCATGGAAAAACTTGTTATTTCCATTTTACAGAGGAAGGCTGGGAGGCAGAGAGGCCCTGCCCCTCAGGGGACAACGCTCAGGGTGGGGTTAACACAAACCAGAGCAGCTTCTTTCCTTCATCAGATAATTTGCTGCTGCTGCTGCTGCTGGGAGCCAAGGCAGAAATGGGTTCAAAAAGACTTCTGACAAATTCCTGGAGAATTGGCTATTAAATCTGATGATCCCAATGGAATTTCTAGCCCAGGAGGGGGCTGAAGTGACAAGTGAGGAAAGCGAGGACGATTCCTTGCAGAAAGGCTCCTGTTTGTCACATCCCTTCCCTCTGCTCCTGCCACAACTTCCACGTTTGTGCTCATTAGATGGGAAGTAAAAAATTTGATGAGTTAAATTCATGCTCTGCTTATTTTGGAGACTGAAGCTGGCTCAGGCTCAGACCCAGCCAGGCTGTGGGTGGGGTTGGGGTGAAGCTCCTGGTTATTCGCTGCTCCCTGCAGAGATCCCAAGGGATGGGATGGTCCATGGGCTGATGCTGCTCTTCCTACCCCAACCCCAGCTTGTTAAGGAGTGGATCACCTGCTGCCACCTCTGTCTGCAGTGTGATATCCCACTGGAAGTGCTGTCTGGATAACGGGAGCTTTGCTCTGCCGATCCCTCAGTCAGGCACTCAGGGAGTCAACCTCTCTCAGGGCAAAAATGAAGGATTTTCACCGCCCCAAAGCCAAACCAACTCACCAGCTCTCTTGATCCTCTTCCTCTCCTTCAGCTGGTAGGGCTTGTGGTCGTGGGACAGGGGGATGGCATTGCCATCCTTGTCACACAGGACCCCTCGGGAATCGCCCACGTTGGCCACGGTCAGCTCCTTGTCGGACAACAGCGCGATCAGACACGTCGTGCCTGGGAAAACAGAGGCAGAGGGGAGCCCAGGGGACACGTGGAGGGGGGGTGTACATGCAGGCATGTGAATTATTAGCTGGGAAATGTTCTTGCTGTCACAGAATCCCAGAATCCTTGAGGCTGGGAAAGCCCTCCACGACCATGGAGTCCAACCCGTGCCCCACGCCCACCTTGTCCCCCAGCCCAGGGCACTGGAGTGGTTCCCATCTCCATCCTGCAACTGGGCTTTTCCTCATGGCCAAGGGAAGTCATTAAAGTACAAATTACCCCTTGGCTGCTCCCAAGAACTGAACCTGCAGCAGTGGAAGGTGCTGGGACAACCTCAGAGCTCCCTCCCCTGTTTGTTGGCTCACGTGGCAGGAAATCACTGGAAAAATGGGGTGGTTTTCAGGTGTGAACATTATAGTTTGTATTTTCCTTATTTCACTGATAGAGGGGGGTGGATATTGGACAAAGCAGACCTTATTAAGACCATGACTTTTCTATATTTTCCTTCCAACCACCAGGACCTATAAAAACTCCAGCTATTACAAATATTCCTGGCACGGGCTTTGGACCAGACAGCACCATTTCATTCAGGCCCCAGAATCCAAAGATGGCAAGCAAGTTTTTAGACATGCAGGTTTAAAGGGAACAAAGATTAAAAGGGAATTTTAGCACTGATGGCACAGTTACAAGAGGCACTCTGGTACCTCTCAACAGTAAATAAAATTAACTTCATGCTGCGCCCTTTTTCTTTCAGGCAGACCAGAGAAGCACAGGGTTGAGTTTTCACCTCTGTTATTAATTTACATGTGATTATTCATCGATAAAAAAGGTTTATCGCAGCTCTGGGAGAAGCACTTTGGGACCAGCCTGCCCAATCTTGGGGATGAAACCCCACCAGCAGCGCTGGTACAGAGCAGACCTTCAGCCTGTGCCCTGTGGCCTCAAAACCAAATTCTCGTGGCTGCTGTTGTGGCACCTCTGCCCAAAACACAGCTCTGAGTTCTGCTTTGCTGTTCCCACGGCAGCAGTTAAATATCCCGTGACTGGGATAAATAAAATAGCCAGGAATAAACAAGTTGTGTTCAGATACCCTGTGTCCCCAAGGTTTATTTTGGACCTAATGGGCTGCCCTGCACAGCCCTAAACTAGAGCTATTTTTTCCACAAGGCAGGCACAGATAAATACATATCTATTTACTAATAATTTTTTTGCAGTGGATGGAAACATTGCAGACCTTTATGGATGTGGCTTCCCATTTGTTGCTAAACTGCCCAGTTTAATGGCTCACTGCTGACAGGACACAGGGAGGAACCTGCCCACCAGGATCCCCTCAGGATCCCAAAAAACGAGTGTCCTGCTCCAGAATTATCCCCTCTGAAGGCTCCAGGAGCTGGCCCTGAGGGTGTGAAGGCTGTGCCGAGAGGGGCAACGAGAGAATCACAGCACCAAACAGCACCTGCCTCGCTTTTCTTCCTGGAACCTTCCCTACAAAACATCCCAGCAGCCTCGTGCTGCCCTCCTGCAGCCTGCAGGGCTTGGGGGGAAGAGTTCAGATAGGCTGAAATGTATTGATAAACAATCCGTTGGGTTGGAAAAGGGATCAGCAACTTCAGGGAGAGAAAGAACAGCTGCCTGGGGAGTTTGGGTGGGAAGTAAAAGCTGGGAGATGTAAAAACCAACGAGGAGACAGAGGGTGATTTGCAGGGTGATTTAGGGAGGATCAGCTCCCTGATGGATGGCTGGGATATCCTTCCATCCCTGACCTGCCCCGAGAAAGTGAACTTATTTATTTCCCTGTGTTTTCTTTCCCATCTATTTATATTTCGGTCGTTTAACCTCGTGCAGGGCGAGGAAACGCCGAGCCCTTGGCAGCAGCCTCAGATATAATGCCCGATGGAAAATTCCCAGCAGGAAAAGGGCCTGGAATTGAGAACCCCCGTTACAGGAGTGCCCTGATGGGGCAGCCTCACTAAGGCACTGCTGAGCTCTTTGCAGAGGAAATCAGCTGAAAATTTAAAGCCTGTACTACACTGGCTGTGGAGATGTTTTGTTTTTTTTTAAAGCCAAGCAAGATTATTGATGTATTTTAGTGTTTTAGCATCAGGCAAGGCACCTTGGAGAAGTCCAAGTAGCAGTTTGTGGATAGTTGTTTTATTGAGGGGGAGAAAACACCTGATTACTAAATTAATTATATTTATATAATTAATGTATATACTTATATACTTTATATAATAATGTATATATTTATATTTATAAAATATATTTGAAAAGTGTTCTGTAAATAATATGGAATATAATTTCATATGTTATAATCAACACATCAATTATATTTATATAATATATCTAGAATGTATATACATATATTTCCTATACTAGAATATAATATATTTTATATGTATTCTATATAATACATATTGTATATAATATATATTAAATAATATATAAAAAATGTGTGTGTATGTATGTATGTGTATATATATACTGGATTGATTAAAACCCAAACAAGAACCAACCCATAAACTCCATTCCCATCTTTTTTGCACAGTGCTCAGGTTTGAGTTCACACAACAATTAAGCAAGAATTGGTATTTTCGAGCTTCAATAACCACCAGAAAGAAGCAGAATGACTGAGAACAGTGCAAAGAGCAGCACAAACCACAGTCCAGATTTACATTTGTGTTTGTTCCCCACCAGCAACTCACACCACGTCCCAGCTTCGCTCTCATTTACAGACCACACATCTCCGTTTGCCTTCCAGGGATTTTAAATCCTAACCAATGAGACTCCAGCGCTTTCCAGGGCAGAAATGTGACATTTTTATGGCTCTCTCTGTGTCCCTCTGTGCCCATCTGCCTCAGCCCCTCCACGGGTCTCCTGCACTTCTCTTTTCCATCCCCCTCGGGCCATGCAAATGAAACTTTGATCACCCACCCCTGGAACTGAGGGCAGGACTGAGACAAACCACCCTAAATAAGTGCAAAGGGAGTCTTTGGCTTCGGAATGTGGATAAAAAGCTGTGCATCTTTCAAAGTGTGTGGGACCAAAGAGCCAACACACCATCCAGGCATCAATTCCCAAATCCCCCAGTGCTGATGTTTCCCAAAATCAGCTGCACCTGCTCCTTCTCCCAGTTATCAAAATTCAGTTCTGCAAAGCCTGAACCTAAAAATAACCCTCCTGAAAATTCGAGCTCTCACAATTCTTTAATCATCTCTACATAACGTGGGGTTTTTGTCCCGAAAATTAAAAGAACTCCTTCTTTTAAAATAGATTAAAAGAAACATCGGGTTCTTAGAGGGATGTAGAAATTACTTTGAATCTGTAAGGTTGAAGCTTAATCTCCAACACAGAACAATTCCTACCTGGCTGTTTAAAGTACTGTTTTTACTTCCACTATCCCAGAGGTTGCTCCAACCTGGCCTGGGACACTTCCAGGGATCCAGGGGCAGCCACAGCTTCTCTGGGCACGCCTGTGCCAGGGCCTGCCCACCCTCCCAGCCAGGAATTCCTTCCCAATATCCCACCTAAACCTAGACAGTTAATCCTGTTCACCATTAATCTTATATTCCCCATATTTGGGGTGTATCCACAGACTAACAGGTTCCTGTAGATTTCTCAACACCAAAAAAGCGTTTTCCAGGCAGGCAAACAAGGGCTGGGAAGGACATTTTGAGCAGCCTTCTGTGGAAAGCAGAACCCCAAAGCACAAAGACTCTGGATCAGGAATTTTTTTTTTTTCAATTTTAAGGGAAGATATAAACCCAACAGATTTATTCTGCATTTTTAATGGGTTACTCTGAGAATGACCCACCACATCCCAGGCCTGATAACTTATTTATCCTCACAGCAATAATGATAAATTCCATGTTAAAGCTCTTTGCAGAGACAAAAAAAACACTTTTCCCTAACAAAGCATTTATTATCCCTGTTATTTCTGATTCCTGCTGCAATTTTCCTGCTTTAATGTTCTCATTTTCTCCTTGTAAGCACTTTCTCTGGGGGGGAAAACACCTCCTTTCTGCAGTGGCAGGAAGGGAGCAGGATCATAGGAAAATTTGGGGCATCCTGGGGTTGGCTGAGCTCAATCCCCCCCCCTCACCCACAGACAGCAAATATCAGCTCAGAAAACACATTTTTGGGCTGACACCTGGCTCTGGATGCAGCTCCTAAATATCAATATCTTCCCTGACTGCTTGACAGCAGGGAGAGCTGAAATTCATCTCTTCTGTCGGGCAATAATGAAACTCAATTTCTGCAGGACTCTTGAGGGGAGAGGGACCATCCGTTAAGGAAAAAACCAATTCCTTCCAGGACAAAACCACCTCTGGAATCTCCCAGCAGGTTCAAGCTTCCTGTTCAATTCCAAAATGCCTTTTAAATACCCAAACTTTGCACTTTTTTTTTTTCTTTCCATCCCAGATGTTTGGAGATGCCACAAATCAAAGGAATGGGATTAACGAGCCGACAAAGCTGCGTCGGGAGAAAATATTCCTGCCCAAAATTACCTCGGCCTCAGTCAAGAATGCCACTTTTTAAACTAAGGGATTTAAAGATTATGAGAGGATTTGTATCCATCTGTCACTTTTGGCCTCCTTTTACTTTGTAAAGCTTCCTTAGTCAAACCTCCAGTCTTGCCAGCATCGACTGTTTTTCCAGACGGATTCGTTCCATTTGGGTGCTCTGAGGGATTGATTTCCTAAAGGGAAGGGTTCCCAAAGAGGCACTGGGATGTTGAGCCCCTGGAAGCTGCATTTTATTAATACTGAATGTTGTCAGAAAGGCCAAATCAACCTGCAAACTTGTGCCAAAGCCCAAGTCATTTAGGCATGTTTGATTCGGGGCAAATGGATGCAGATGGATTCTATCTGCTTTGGGAGACACCCCTGGGAGAATGGAGTGAGCTGGGGGTGCAAACTCCTGGAAATGGGAGGGATGGGAAAGGTTTCCTGCATGGGAAAGGTGTGGAAGTGCTCCTGTAGATGCAGCTATCAACCCCTGGATCACCTTGAACATCTCCCTTTCCAGTTCCCCGGGCTGACACGTGGCAGAATTCCATGGGATTCCAGAAATTAAACCCTGGACAACACACTCCAGGGTGGGTCTGCTTGATCCCTCACCTAATTCCCTTTCATCACCATCCCTTTATTTCCCCCATTTGGATTTTGAAAGATTGTTTCTTTCATTTTTCACGTCTCCCACCCCCCAATCAGCTTGAGTTTCTCACTGAGCTCATTTTGGTGTGGAAAAAGGCCAAGGAAAAGGAAAATGCCACCACCAAGAGCTGAGTAGTTGGAGCCCCTGGGATCACCCACAGCTGCTCAGTTCTATTTAACCTCCCATTTTCTGTGCCTTGCTCACAATCACAATCTCATTTCAAGAGTTGTGTAGCACCATTTTCTGCCTTTCCTGTAAACAAGTGCCATGATCGGGATGATGAGAGGGCGCCCTCACCGTGTTTTCATCTCTACAGGTGTCCCCACCTGATTGGGAAGCTGAAATTCCAAAGCAACGACTTTGGAAGCTGATCTTTTTATGCATCACTAAAAAACAGGCCACATGTCATTACGGAGATATTCTGCACCCTCATTTTTAACTCCTGTCCTTTGAGAGCTCCTCCTGTTTGCAAAGGGGCTGGAGAGCATCTCAGATCACAGGAGCTGAGAGCAGCAGCCTCATTTCTCGGGTTAATGAGGGGATGTCATCGATGAAGTGACACAGCTTGGTAATTACTTGACTCCAGCAAAGCTCCCCAGCCCTGTGAGCACCCAGAAAGCTCCGTCTGCAAATGGCATTTTGAGCTGCTCGAGCGCCCTCGAGATCAAAGGAGCTCAGAGAGAATCTTGTTGCTGGTGAGGGGGAGGCTGAGGAGGAGCCTGAACAAAGCTGATAAGTAGTTGGAGCATCTTAAGCACTTCAGGGCACTTCAGTGTGAGTAGAAATGATCGAACCAAGTGCCAGCAGCTTGGCAGGGCTGGGATTGCCAGAGCTGGGAGTGACGAGGGACTCGGATGGTGGCAACTTTATCAAGGGTGCAGTGACCGACCCAGAGGGATCCACAGGGCAGTGTCTGCAAAAACCATCTAAACAGGGTGAAAAACCATCTAAACAGAGTGAAAACCCATCTGATCAGGGTGAAAAACCCAGCTATGAGTTCAAGGCTTCTGCCTAAAGCAGAAGGAAGGAAAAGCTGGAGCTGAGCTCATCACAGCTCTTCCCAGGGGCACCAGTGGGGGACAGAGCAAGAAGTGCCACAGGGGGTAAGAAAGAGCCCCAAAATGGGGACATACTAAGTATAAACCCTCTTTTTGTACTCCAGGGCTGCCTGAGGCTGGTGGTGGGTGGGGCTGTGGATGAAAGGAGATGATGAGAGTGGAGAACAAAGAACAGCATCTTTCAGATCTCCATACACACCTCCAGCCCAACTGCCTGCCATGAACATGAATTCAGCAGTAAAATCATGAACTGCTCTTTCAGCTCCATTCTTCCTTTACAAGTTTGCAAGTTACCAACTTATTTAAACACTAAGAAACTTGGGAAACTTCAGGGCAAACGGCACTTATTGGGGGCTATTTTGGAAAATCAGTGAAAAGCATTGAGAGTGTGTCTTTTCCTTGTGACTGTAAAGGAGTCCCTGCATCAGGTAAAAGCTGCAAGACATTTCTACCTACCAGAGAACAACATGCTAGTAAAAAGTAATTATCAAAGCAGAAAACCCCTGTAACTGCACTGTTAAAATGCCTCCAAACCCACATAAATTGTCTGGGTTTTGCTGTCCACGTGCATCGTGGACATTTAAAATCAGGTTCTGGGACCAGCAAGCTCCACTCTGAGCTGGGAAAGCCCAAAAAGAAGTTAGTTGTGAAGGAGAAAAGAGCAAAAAGCAGGTGGCACCACTTGCAGAGACAATCAGGAGGCACAGGCAGATCAATCACCATCAGTGCACAGAGGACAAAGAGCTGGGAGAAGAAGAAGTGTCCTCTTCAGTTGGTTGACATTCCATCACTCAAGGGGGAACATTTTCCACCTCAGCTTGAGGAGAAAGCAATATTTCACCGGGTCACCTCCTGCCTGCGAGGACAAAGCTCAACCTTCCAGCTCAAGGTGTCTGGAGAGCAGGAAAATGGAATTCAAAAGAGACACAGCCCTACCTGCTTCATCGTAGGACACCGTCAGCTTTTCCAGCATTTCCCGGTCAATGGATAAGATCTGCTGCTCCAGGATGGTCTGGTAGGACAGGACACTGTTCTCCTTGTCCTTCTCGTAGTCTTGAAGGTGCTGCTTCAGGACCTCGGGCAGGCGGGACTTCACGTACTCTGCTGCCGACTGCGGAGCCGAGAGGCAGAGCTTTAATTAATTCCTGGCTATTAATTAGAGGCAGGGATATAATGGACCGAATTCCCCTGAGCTGGGGCACAGCCCACCCTCCAGCAGAGAGTTTGGGGCAGTCCAGAGTTACCCACACCCCCCCCCTACACACACACACACCAGCTCGACTTCACCACGGGTGAATTTGGAAAATAAAACCCGCGAAATCCACCGCCTTTATTCCAAATTTTAAAGCACAAAGCGCATCCACACACTTGGGAAATTGGTGGGATGCCTTTCTCCTGACTGCTGGAGGCCAGGAGGAGACAGCAGCTGACACAAGGTGGCATGGTTGTGCTGATGTTCCACAGCCTGGTGTAACAACGTAGTAACTTGGGAGCAACCAGTGAGAGCATCTGCCCCTTCCATCCCTCTGGAATTGGGCTCTGAGAGACCCCAAACACAGCCAGGCTTCCTGCTTTTCAGCACTGCCACCCCTCTCCTGGGAGCATCACACTCCCACCAGCAGGAGGGAACAGAAATTCCCTCCTTCTGGCCCGGGTTTGAGTGGGGTTTGGAGCTGGAAAAGCGGGATGTGGCAAGGGATGCTGCTCCCTGCTCCGGCTTTCCTGCCAGTTGAGACACAAAGGAGGAAAATAAATTGTAGCAAGGTTGTTTTATTCCAGGCCTGGGACTGACCAGGAGTTACCTCTGCTCTCCAACAGGCTCTTTCCTGGGGTTATATTTAGTTTTCCAAAGTCAAGCAGCACCGATTAAATTGCAACCTTAAAATATCCCTCAAGTTGTGTCCCAGGTTTCTGCAATTCCAAGGGAATTGTTCTGGGAAAACTAAAGGAACTCTCCACCGGAGTCCAGCACATCTAATGTTACATTTTTATAGTTGTTTTCTTCCCTGGGAAGGCCAAAGGATACACTGGATTAAGGATACAAAGGATTTGATTTATTGGTTATTCTCACTCATCCCTGTGGGAAAACAACTTGGAGCTGTAGCCACTTCTTTTATAAAATTAAAACTCCACCATCTCCCATGGATCTGCTTTCAGTCTGAAACACCCTCCTCCTCCAAATTAAATAAAGGATTGGCTTTAATACCTTAATTGACTTTAGGGTATTTTGTCCTACCATGGAAAATTAATATTTCATATAGAGAGGATCTATTTTAAAATACCTATGTACAGTGAAATGCACTTGAAGGGCTTATTCACCAAAAGGAAAAAAAAAAATCACATTTTACTCTGTTCACTAAAAAAAAACCCTGATAAAAATCCCATCAGGAACTGCTGAAATCCCTGGTTCTGCAGCAACCTGAACCCCAAACACAGCCAGTGTCCTCCTGTCACCCCCAAATCTGCCCACATTTTTGAACTGCTGAGAAATCCTTACTCACAGGAAATTTTCCTTTGTACAAATTATGCCAAGCACAGGCTGAAATTTGTTCTGCTTTTCTCAAGAGGATCCTTCTGGGAGCCGCTTTGTACGTGGGGAAGGAAAGGTCCAAAATGGTTAATTAAAGGCTTCTTTATGAAGCTACTTCAAAAGTCAAGTGGTGGCTTGACAAAGCATCTCCTCACACACTTCCTTTGGGGGAATTTTTGGGAAGGTTTCCAACGTGCAGTGGAGATTTGGTGGGTGGGAAGTCACCATATCCAGCAGGGGCAGCTGCATCCTTCCTCGTCCTCATCCTCATCCTCATCCTCATCCCCATCCTCATCCTCATCCTCATCCTCACCCTCATCCTCATCCTCATCCTCATCCTCATCCCATTCCACGGGCTTTGTTCCAGGAGTTGTTTCTTGGCATTCTGGGAATGATTAAAGAATATTCTTTGCGTTCCTGCCTCCCTGAGAGCTCAGTTTACAGCAAACAAACCAGGCAAAGCTGGTGGTGATGGAATCAGACACCAAAATTCTGCTTCCAGCCCCACTGACTTCAGAGCAATTCCCATTCCCGAGCTCCAGCTCTCCCATCCCACACTCCTATTTGGGATCAGCTGCCTGGCCTTCAGCAGCAGGGCTGTGAATAACTGCCCTGAAGTCAGTGGGATTTTGCTGAGCCAAACCTCTTGGAATAAGGACATGGAGCTATGAATAGTTATTCGAAGGGAAAACATATGAGAGCAAAACATAATCTGCTCTCAAGAGGATAATGCAAGATCTACAAATGGCACCAGGACAAACAGTTTGCCCTCTAAAGCAAAGAACTATTTAAAGGACAAAGATGCCAACAGAAACTGTGGGTAGAGTTTTCCTCTAACACAAAAGTCTGGGACATTTAGAATATTATTTCTATTAAAAATATCTTTTTTTTTTTCTCCACAATGACCACTCAGTTCAATACTATCGAACTAGGAAAGCCAAACTCACGATTTAAAATCAATTCATTAGCTGAAAATGAAAATGTTTGAGGCACTCAGAGATCCTCTCCCCCAGGATTTTCAAATTCAGCACCGCTATCCCTTTGCAGCCCCAATTATTTCCATAGCAGGAAAAATATTAGCCTGACAAACATCTTCACTTAATCAGACGCTGTATAATCATGAGAAAATTATCTTCCATCTTCCCACGAGGGCGTGGTCAATGAGAGGTGCTTGTTTGGCCCTTAAACCCCAATTTTAATTAATTAATTAAAACGAACAAAGACACGCTCCGTGCAGTGCCACAGATGAGGAGAGACAAGGCAGAGCTTCAAGGAATATTCTGGAATCTGGATGTCTAATTAAAAGATTAATTGTATCAAGGCAAGGGAGGGGGGCATCATTCTAATTATCTTGTCTGGCATCTTGAATCAGGACCAGGGCACTTCCCTGTCTCGTCCTCTGAAGGGATAAGTCATTTTGAAAAATATGAAAATATTCACAGACAGGGTCTTTCACGGCCCTTGGAAGTTAATTATCTTTGCTGGGAGAGGATAAATTCACATTCCACAGAAAACTCTTCAGGTTATTTCCAATCTGAATGCTCTGTTATCTGCGACTTTCAGCCACTGAATCAAGTCAAATGTCTGCTCACCTACATTCCCCTTTCTCATGTAAATACATGCAAATGCCTCAGATCACCCCATTATCTTCCCATTGATGAACTCCAACAGCTGGAACTCCCTGAATGGCACATTAGTACCTGTCACATTTTTCCTGCACCCTTTTTCATCTTTTCTGCCATTCTCCTTTGGAACACTCTTTTATTTTCCAGCTTTGCTCTTTAGGGGGGGAATCATCACAGCAAGGCAACACACCACGGAGAGGGAGGACAACTTATTAACACCAAAACTACTTCCTTATTTTTATTAACCTTGTGCCTGGCTCACCACTGCCTTGGGATCTCCTGGACAGCTCATGGAGCCCCTAAACCTTCCTTTGGGACCTGTGCAGTGCTGGATGTACAGACTTGTGGTTGATTACACTGAATTTCAACAAGTGAATCAAATCCCTCTGGGTGGTTAATTGAACATCATTATTTATCACTTCTCCAATCTTTGATGACATTTTAAGTCACATCCTCTCCAGGACCAGGATGTTCACCGACTTCAACCCAGAAGGCTCTGGAAGTCAAGGCAGATTGGGAAGCTTTCAGCTCAAAAATTACAGGTTTCTGTGAGTGGGACCCAACCACGATCCTCGCCTTGGACAATTGTTATGAGACTCATGGAAAACAACAGGTGGAGTGGGAATAATTCTGTGGAAAAAATCCAGGTGGAATAATCAGCAGCAGGGAAAAAAACCCCACAGAGTTCATCCATCCTCAGGGGGGGTGATAATTTATGATCCTTCTGAACGGGCACAACAAGCTGAAAGACAGGAAATTCCTTTGAAACCTGAATAAAAAGCTCTTTTTTCCATGGCCAAGCACTGAGGCTGTGGTGTCACCATCCTTGGAGACACCAGAGCCCAACTGGACTGTCCTGGATGATCCTGCTCCAGTTGTCCCTTCTCCAGCAAACACTGGACTGGGTGGTCTCCAGAGGCACCTCAGCCCCTCTGTGACCCTGTACAAATATTTCCAGGGAATCCAACGGGGTGGCTGCTCCACCCAGAATATTTATTCCAGTTGTTTGGAAAACTGCACAGACTCACTCAAAAACATTTGGTGAGTGTATTCAGGATGATGAGAGCAAAAGGAGCTTATTCCCCTCGTGAAAGGAAAAGCACTTAAACTGCATTTGCACTGACACAAACTCTGAATTTTCATCGTGCTGGGAAGGCAATTATTACCCATGTCCTGTATAGGAGAAGAATTAAGATTAGTGGGGAAATTAAACTGAGAATTAGCCACAGACAAAGCACTTTTAGAACCTGTTAGTTTGAACAAGCAGGAACCTGAAAGCTGAGTGTAAAGGTGATGGATTTCCTGAATCCTGGAAGATGCACAAGCACAGACACAAAAGAATTCTGATTCCCACACTCACGTGGCCATAGGTAAAGGGCATTAATATTTGGGATACGAGAACCAATATTTTCATTTAGCAAAGGGCACCATTGAGTTGATTGAACAATTGAGCAAAGCAGAATATGTTTGATTGAAGTGCTTAAAGAAAAAAAAAAGGTCTGTCAAGATTTCACCTGATTTTTATGCTAACTGGTTGTAAATATTAACATAGATGAGCCAGATGATAAAACAGGATATATATAAAAAAGGTTTTAAAATGCATGAAAAGACCTGTCCATTACCAGCTAACAGTGCAGGAAAAGCTAGGTGCCAAATTCCAATTTATTTATTGAATATAAATAGCTCTACAGCAGGGACTGCCCTTGCTCAAGGCCTGCCAGAAACGTTTCACCCAACCAGGATGAACTGAGACATCTTCTTTCACCACTGAAATCAAATCTAAGCAAAGGGAGATCATTTTTTACATTGGCATCAACAAGCAGAAGTGAGAGAAGGAGCAATAAACCAGAAAATAATGGTCAAAATGTCATAAACCAACTCACTTTACGTGGGTGCTGAAGTGCTCACGTTGCACTCCTTTTTGATACAGCAAAATACTGCAGTTTGTCTTTTACT